TAAACTGTCCATATGACAGAAAAAAATATATCTACATGTGAAAAGTGTTTATCATAAGAATTACATGCACGAGTTATAAAATTGTTCGTGCCATACTTTGTGCGCATAGTGGAAGTACAAAATAAAAGTTTCTTTCTAGCACTTATCCTTTGCCATCTGAAACTTATTTCATTTAAAAGTGGTATGGAGTCGACCCTATTATGAATGATTTAATATAACATTCCCTGACAATACGGCAAGATTTTAGGTCAAAAGCTAGTCTACACCAAATAGAGGTATTGCCGGCTAATCTAAATTGAATATGCTTCAGAAAATTTTTGTGAATCTTTTCAATTGACTCTATACAAATATTATATTGAGGATTCCAAAGTGTTGAGCAATATTCTGATATTGAGCGGACCAACGAGTTATACAAAATAATTAGGGTTGAGGGCTTTTTAAAGTCTTTTGTAATTCGTAAGACAAATCCAAGCATCTTATATGACTTGTTAACTATTTTGTCAATATGAGATTTAAATGTTAATTTTTGATCCAAATACACGCCCAGGTCCCGCAACTCGGTCACCCGATATATCTATACATCATTTATTTTATAATCAAATTCTATAGGTCTGTTTTTTCTGCTGAATGTTATAACATTACATTTTTTTTAATATTTAAGAACAATTGATTATTTGAACAATATGAGTATAATCTATTAATATCTTTTTGTAGTAGTTCACATCATGTCAATTTTTAATAATTTTAAAAATCTTTTTTATCATCATCAATTAGGAGTATAATAGAATGTTGGAATTGTAAAAGAACATTTACATAAATATTGAACAAAAGGGGACCAAGATGCGAGCCCTGTGGGACATCCGAAGATATTGGTAAAAACGAAGAACATATTGATATAAACTTAATACTATCCCCAAGCTTTTTGAGAAAATTGTGTAGAACGTTATATACCCCACCATTAGACCCGTCTTGTTGCGCCAGCAACACGGTTTCATGACTAGAAAATCTACAGAGAGTAATTTATGCGAATATCTTGATATTGTTTACAAAGCAATGGATGCAGGGCTACAGGTGGATGCTGTATACACCGATTATTCAAAAGCTTTTGATAAAATATCTCACGAAATCCTTATCAAAAAACTAGTACCATATCGGTGTGCACGGTGACCTGCGCTGGTTAGCATCGTACTTGCGTAATCGTACTCAAGCAGTAGCAGTTAAGGAGCAATCGCACTAAGCGATCTAATTTAATATAATATGTATTACTTGCGAGATACATTGTGTTTTCATGCGATGGCCAAGTCAATCTATATATTTAAAACATACAAGATTTTTAACATTGATATGGTCACTATAAAATGTTGTTAGGTTAGCTAATTACGTAATAACTTAAAACAGAAGAACCCTTAAGTAGGGACTGAATAAATTAACCGACTTGGTATTACATGGATCTCACAACTTTTTATGGTAGAAGAACTGAGTTGCGAGACTTGTTTTTTTTACAAGTTATGTTTTTGATGGCATCTCACTTCTTTTTGTACATAAGATAGTCCTACTTTTTTACCTTTCAGGTACCTTCTAGTTCTTAAATACCAACAACGTACCTATCTACACCTACGAGTATTAAACATGTTACGAGCTTGAGGTTCGTGACAATAAAAACTGCCAATTGAATTACCAAAATTAACACTTTAATTCACTAATTAAAATTTAAAACACTAATATTTAATCACACTGATTCACTTTATTTCGCTCCGAAGCTTCGCTTGTCTCGCCAAATTCAATACTTCCTTCCTATAAATACAAATTAGCACCGAAACATCCAGAATATTCAAGTAAACATGCACAAGGGGCCGAGAGTTCGAGTGTCGATTTCTAGAAGCTTAGTTCTTTGTTCTGAGACTAGATGGCGCTGTCGGTTGAAAGATTAGTGACGTCATTTTCTGGAAAGCTCCCCCTCGCTCTCGTCCCTGACACTAGATGGCGCTAGTGCCGGATACATGACGTCGACTTATTCGCGCAACAAACATATACAAGTAGTTATTAGTATTCATTCACTGCAAATGTAACTTTGTAATTCTATACGTATATATGATATTACAAAGTTACTTATGCAGTTATTGTATATAGAAAACTGGACCAAAATTAAAAAGTATTTTAGTTTTTTCTTGATTTATATACTAAACTCTAATTGTATTCTAAATTTGAAGCTTTTATGTCTGCTAGAAGTGCCTTAGAGTTTTGATGATCGGTCAGTCAGTGAGTGACAAAATTAAGAAACTTTGACTAGTTATAACTCTTAAACTACTGGTTCAAATTCAATGAAATTTGAAATATACCATGTTTATACAAAGCCAACTTGGTAACTGAAAATTCAGGCTTTTAGTTTTATCCACTACGAAGTTATAGGAAGTCGAAAATGGCCTGAATTTCTTCGAGAAAAGTATAGTACGGCCGTGCCGCTTTTTTGCTCGACTTGGCGGGGCACTGCCGTGCCCCCAGATTAATGGGGTCTTAACACTGCCGTTTTTAATGAAAGATTAAACAATCTAAACAGCGGCTCAGATAATTGCTTGTAGCACTGCTTCAATAAATTTGGGGGAATCCCGTCAGGACCAGCGCCTTTATTAATATTAATATTTTCGAGGTACGATTCAATTTTGGCTTTATCTATAAAAATATGGTTGAGATTTATCAGTTTATTTCCTTTGTTGACATATATATGATCATGATGGAATTGATTATGGGATTCAAATACCGAGTTAAAATACTGATTAAACAAATCGCATATGCCCTCACCGCTAGATGAACTAATATCTCCAATAAACGTTGAGTCAGCCAAGTCATTTATATTTTCTCTTTTTGATTTAACATATGCCCAAAAGTGTTTACTATTGTGAGAAATCTTAGATTCAGCATCAGATATAAAATTATTAAAACACTCCTCTTGCAACACCTTTTGCCTTTCTCTGAGTAGTCTAAATGTATTATAATTAGTTACATGGCCATATATTTTCCACTTCCGATGATATTTTAATTTTTCGTTGATTGTTTTTATTAGTGCTCGATTAAACCATATTGGGTATTTATTTTTAGTTTGAATAACTTTGACTGGAATAATCTTAATTATAATATCATTAATTATGTTGTAAAAAGTTTTAATATTATCGTTAATATCATTCAACGTGAAACATTCATCCCAATCTATGTTAGAGAGAGCACTCTCATAATTGGCTGATTTAAACAACTCAATGGACTTGGTGTTTTGGCTAAGTGACCTCTGCTTACAAATTGAGACTTCAAAATAAAAAGCTGGGTGATGTTTATCTTCTGGTACAAGAGGCTCAGAAGCTGATACACTACAATCCACGTTTGCAATAACTAAATCAAGCACTCGCTTATTACCGTTGTAAATTAAATTAAATTGTTTAAAGTCATTAATGGATATAAAATTAGATAATTTCTTTGCATTATTTGATTTTTAATGGTCAACCACTCAGCACAAGGGATATTAAAGTCACCAAAAATAACATAATATTCGCCCTGATATTCGAGTGCCTTGTTAGTTATGTATTCATAAAAATTAATTAAAACCTCTTTTTGAGCATTACAATGTGGAAAATAGCACGAGTACAAGTTATAAATATTTTTTGAGGTTCCATTAATCGATAAGGAGACCGATATAATTTCGGCCGCCGAATTTACAACAGGAACAATTATACAATTACATACTAAAAAATAAAAATATAAATTTCTTTGCAACTTTCCGCTAAACATATAAAATGATGTGTCTTACCTGGATTGAAGCGCACCTCCCGCCCTCCCTCAATTGCATACACTAACTCCGTCACCACTAGACCAAGCACCACTACTCCCAACACCACTATTCCAGGTAAGACACACCATCGACGATAATACCTGAGGATGCCTCGTGTAGAGGCGAAACACGTGTCGTATTATCGTCGATGGTGTGTCTTGCCTGGAATAGTGGTGTTGATAGTAGTGGTGCTTGGTCTAGTGGTGACGGAGTTAGTGTATGCAATTGAGGGAGGGCGGAGGTGCGCTTCAATCCAGGTAAGACACATCATTTTATATGTTTAGCGGAAAGTTGCAAAGAAATTTATATTTTTATTTTTTATTATAATGGATTTCCGCAAAGTAACGCCTGATTCTATCAATTACAATTACATACATTAAATTTTCGATGTACAGCTATTAAAACCCCACCCCCATCCTATCGCCCCTAGAAGCATAGTCTCTATCGCATCTGTAAACACTATATCGAGAATCAAACAATTCCAAATCAAAAACACTCGGTAGTAGCCATGTTTCTGTAATACAAATAACGTCATATTCATTTGAAACAATACTCTTATAGAACATGCTAGTTTTTGTACGCAACCATCTGGTTTTGGTAATAAATTCGCAATTTATTATCTATCTTAAATCACTATAATATAATAACTCAGATACATAGCTCCAATAGTAATATAATAATGCCGTATACTGTCATCATATAGCTTTAAATTGTTAGGGTTACAAAAGGAATCAAAAACTACACCACTGTAAGGAACAACAAAGCCTACCAATGCGCACGAACGAAAACAAAAAAGTAACAATGAACGTTCACTCCAACCCAAACAAGTATAATAATATGCAAAACTTTGTATTTTATTATTCTGTGAATAAATAATAGTTCCTATTTTATTTTGAATAAATCATTCGTGGAGTTAATATGTAGCACAGGACTACTTTCACCTTGACGCACCATAATAGTACAGTTTTTTACCCACACGAATTTGTAATTGCAATCTTTAGCTTTAGCTTTTGCCTTTTGAAGCAGTAGTTTATTAGATGTAGTTAAATGATCGTTGAAGAAGACATAAGAGTTGTTGCCTGAGAACCCGATGTCGCTAGCTTTCAAGTTTTTAAGCTGACGTACCTTACTCAGAAACTCATCCTTTTTTTTTTGGATAGGGTGAAGCAAACCTGATGGTGATTCATCCTGAGGACGAGAAAGTTAAGTACTGAGACATGAAACGCATAATTATACGTTTGGGCATTTCATTATCTTTTGATAAGGATGCAACACGGGTTACGAAATCCATATCAGTGGAGGCGTTAAATGGTATATCAGCTTTTTTTGCAAAGTTTTCGATGATTGAAATCAAGTTCTCATTTTTCTTTTCAGGAACACCACAGATTTCAATATTTGAACGTCTGGCCCACTGATCTCTTGTATTATTCTCAATCTCCAGTTTATTTAATGAAGTCTTCAATTGGGCCATATCAGCCGATATGAGATCCATGGATTTTAAAGATTTTTCTTGGTTGACCAACTGTGTCTTAATTTCTTCATATTTGTTGTTTATAAATGGGACTGATTTCTTGACTTCCTCCACTTCATCTTCTATTTTCTTAAATTTTGTATTTAATAGGTTCTTAAAGCTGGCTTCTAAACCTTTCTGTAATTCTATAATTTCCTGTCTAATTTCCTGCCTAATTATCTCACGCAATTCAAGCGAAGAAACTGTGATTTGACCAACTGTATCACTGGTTTGAACCTTTGATGAAGGTTCCGACAACGTTTTTTTCTTTTTGTGACGTTGGGTAACGGTACTATTTGCCGATGCTTGTGATGCGCCCCAACGTATGGGAGTATTGTCGCCTTTAATCGCCTTTGGCTTTTTGGCTGTACAAGTGGGACTGGTCCATTTGTTTGTATCGATAGTTGAAAAATCATAGCTGTTTGCAGGGTCCACACAACTGTAATGAAACGCTTCACCACAACGGGTGCATAACATCGTTGATTCCTTGTCTATCGATCCCTCGCAGCAGGAGTACATTGTTATGCAAAATTAATATTAATACTAAGACTTCACAATAGGCACAAACTTACAGTGATTGCTCGTGTACATGCGCCTATGCAATTAATAATCTATGACAGTAGCACTGCGCATGCGCGATGACGTGAGATCGATGCAGTCAATGCGCGCAAGCAAATATAATCACTTTGCACTGCGCGTAGCACTATTACCTGCTGTTGTGCTTTGCCAGCTTTAACCAGCTGTTATGGCTGCCGGCTGACTTTTGCACAATAATTAAACTGTTCGGTTCGTAAAAGCACTATTATTTACTTCGTCTACGTTTGATTTCACAACATAGGTGCACGGAACTGACACTTATTTATAACGTGATGTGGGTGTTATTTAAAAATTGTACGATAAATATACTTTTTTAATAATAAATCGGGAGCTCGCTTGTTTATAACATTTACCTTTTGACGAGGCATCAAAGACTGTGATCATAAGCAGTATATATAGAACATCTCCGAACTATCACACGGAGTGTCGGGCGCTCCCCGGGCAGAACACCTTGCCCGGCGGGAGATCTCCCCTTTTCCTTCCACGGCCACAATTCCATTACGCTATATCGGTTACTCAGTTTCTACCGCGAAAATTTTCCTTACGAAGTATATCGCGCAGAGAAACTCTGAGAATATGAGTAACTGTTTAGATTTCTCTTTGGGTAACTCATATAAAGTTTAGATAACTCCGAATATCTGATTAGATTTAAATATATTTGTATATCATTAGTTGACAAACGACCACACAGACCACCTGATGGTAAGTGGATGCTGTGACCCATAGATATCCACATTTATCCTCAACTAAGGATCAAAATGCAAATGCGTTGTCACCCCTGAGGACTAAGATGGAATGCCTCGTTTCCAGTAAAAAGGGTCGGTCGAGCTGACCCATTCGTGCTACAACTATAGCAACAGCGTGTATTACCACGTAAAAACAGCAACACTTACAGCGCTAATTACAGCACTAATTACTATATCAGCTTTTATAAGGTTTGAATTTTAAATATTTTCTCACTACTAAAGTATCAAAATTGGTAGACTGTAGTAAAGACCAATGGCAATACCTGTGGCAATCCAAAAATTAACTGTACATAAATTAGTTTTGTTGAAAGTACTTTTTGTAGACTTTTATTTTTTTTTAAATAAACTTTTTATTTTTAATATTTATTCATCCCGACAACAACTCCCAAAATCCCGACATTTTCAAAGTTATCAGGATATTTTGGTCTTTCGATCTGGCAAACCTAGATGAGACATGGTCCGACGATTAAGCTAAATCTTCCTTACAACAGGAGATGCCGAGAGAGGAAGTAGGAAATAATAATGAAAATTACTCGGAACTCGATCCATTTATTTAATAACCATTAAATTGAATGTACATTTAATAATAATAACGATATACATATAACGAACTATTCGACTTGGCGTATACACATTTTGTTTATAAATTTAAAGAAACCAATAATTATAAATAATCATACAGAAATATATAAGCAATGTAAATAATAATACAAACATCGAGTTTTTAGAGAATATTGTCTAATAATTGGTTCGTAAAGCGTCTCTCTGGTGCTTGAAGTACTAAGAGTTCAGCATCTGTTAAGATTTGTAAAATTGTCACATTATTTGTAAATGAATAAAATATTTTAATAGATATGTACATAGTTCAAATTTACAACTCTATATAGTATAATTTAAAGTGGATAGGATGCGACAAATCAACGTAAACTCGTACAAAGCAAGGCAATTCTAGTAGCTAATATAATAAAAATAATTTATGCATTCACAGGAGTTAGAAAAATAGTGTCATCATTTTTATAAGCTGAATTTACTGCACGCGTAGAATAAAAATGTATATACGTTAAGTCACGGATGCAAGAATCAAGCTCCCAGCCTTAGCTTGATTCATGCGTAAAGTTGGTTAATTTCTCGTATCCTCAAATTGCGCCAGATTCTGTAAAATGTGTATCAACAAATGTTTAATTCAAGGATACGAAAAATGGTAGCAGTGTTCTCAATATTACGTAAACCTACTTTTGTCTTGTCTATTTCGTCACCTTCTAGAGTTTTTCATTAAAAATCCCTTAGTATATCTTATTCCATATTTACCATTATATAATTAATACAGTTATGGTTGTCTGTTATACAATATTTACTTTTTTATCAACGGCCAGATAGGTTGGAGTCGCGTTATTGAGGGTTGTGTCGATTCATAATATAGACATATTATGACTAGTCTTCACAACTAGATCTTTTAATTGGTTCCCTTCGCTGGACTGTGCTGTAAGAAAACACCTCATAAGCTAGTTTATACGATAAAAGGTTTAGAAAATATTTATGAATCCCTGAACGATGACGATGTAAATTCTATTCTTTTTATCTGAATATCTTATGAACTTTTTTGGTTTTCACCCCTGAGGAATAAGATATAATGCCTTGTTACCAGTAAAAAAGGGCCTACCGTTTTCTACACTCACCATACAAAACAAAATAGCATCTAGCTGCCACCTATTTTATGCATTTTTTGAAGGACGATGCCTCAGATCATATCATCAGCCCTCATTAACAAAACGCAGATGCGTTTTGATTCTTAATCGAGGATAGATGTAGATGTCTATGGGCCACAGCATCCACTTACCATCAGGTGGACTGTGTGCTCATTTGTCGCCCTTATTCTATAATCTATAATCATAATAGACTAGGTACCGGAATTTCGACGGAACCGAAAGTTTTCTCATAGTTCGCATTAATCAAGACAAAATGGCAGATTGTATGTACCCTTTGGTCAGTATTCTTGTCGTTTACACTGGACGTAAAATAACAAGATCGGCAACGGAAGATAGTGTCAAAGGTACAAGATGTCTGGATCTGTGAACGCCATTATGCCAAGCGTTGTGGTGAAGGCAAACCCTCCCAGGGGAGTCCATGTTCAACAACGGAATCAAGCTGGTAAAGGTGAAGAAGAAGATGCAAATCATACCTTTTGTAAATAGCTTTGGGAGAAATCTGCAGATGAGGACATAGATGTGCAAATGTCTTGAGTTCACACAGTGACAAAATATCTCGCAAGGTTACATCAGGAAAGGTCTGCAGTGTCCGATGGCGTGCATGCAGTGGTGGCTCCGACCTTTTTCCGTATCTGCTACCCATGAAGAACCTGCAATGACCTCGTATTATACGTACAAGCAATTCACATAGTTACCTATATATATAGTGGCAACACTTGACAATAGTATTTTCTGTTCAATTTCAACTATATCGACAAATATCATAGTTGGTAGAGAAAGGATTATACCTCGGAGTGGCATTAATATTTCTTCTTAAATTATGGATTGAATTACTTTAATCTATACTATTTTTATTTATGTTACGAGTTAAATATGAGTGCTGATCATGAGGTCCTAGGTACAAATTCCAGGTCGGCCTATAGTTAGTTATTGGGTTCTTCCCCAGAGTAAGACAGTTGGCGATGTTTCACAACAACGTAACAAGTAGTTAGCCCTGCGCCTGATCTCTCTACGGTCTTGTCAGGTTTCCGTCCCATCGGACTATGAGACTGAGGGAATAGAGAATGCACTTGTGCTTGCACATCTACTCAGGCACTATAATTCCGTTCTGCGCAGAAGGCTAGTCTCTATTGAGACCGGCCGTCATAACGAAAATATTGGTCTAGAGGACATTATTTTTAAGCTTATCCAAAATCAGAAAGAAAAGAGTTTCACCACATTTTAATCACATAGAGATAGAGGTTTTGTCTTTACTTCTTATTTCATTATCAGATAAAGTGGCATACAAACACACAGTTCATGCTGTGATCTATATATAAAATACAAATGTATTGTTACACTTAAGGACAAGGCTTGCGTATCTCGTTCCCAGTTAAGAGTTACGCTAATATTCTATCCAAGCGAATTGGCAACCCCAGTTTTTTATAATTTTGAGTTGTTTTCACTAAGATGCTGCTGCTCATCCCCACTTTCAGTTACCTTCTGTCGTCTGTCGTCTCGTATGATACTCACGGGACGATAATATCGGGTAGTGGTGGTGGTACACGGTACCACTGCCAAGCGTGGCAACTATGGTAAAATACTCATTATGTGGTAAACTATAGAGGTCTATGTTTACCGGTATCCTTTTAAATGGTAATGGATCCTATCCAAGGGTGGTCTTTTCTGGGTCGAGTCGACTCAGCCAATATAAGCTGCCGCTACTGTAGTGCAGCTAATGAATAAAAGATTCGAGGTTCACATAAATTCTCATTTAAGCCCCATGCTAACTTAAACTTATGAGAAATAAAGTTATTTAGCACTTAATAACTAACCTGTCATTGCGTGGTTCTATCATTCGTGGCGGCGAACGTCCATACCGCGAGGTCAGTATAAAAGGCGCCGCCGACACTGTTATCGGAAAAGTTTATTATAATATGATATTTCTGAGGAGACCGCCAGGTATGAACAGTTCTTTTTTTACTAATTATAAGCCAGTGTTTGACAAAATCTCATCTAGTGGTAAGTGGTGATGAAGCCGTAGATGGTATATTAATCGCACTGTCTTAGCGTGACAAATGCCTATTCACTCTTGCCTTGAAGACGCCAAGATTGTATTCGGACAGAAAGACAGGCTGAAAAATTATTCCAATCCTTTGCTGTACGTATTATACAGCCCATAGACATCTACATTTATTCTCGATTGAGAATCAAAATGCAGATGCGTTATCACCCTTGACGATTAAGACAGTCTCCGGTTCTCTAAATTCGGCTTAAGAAACGCAGCACATTAAGCTGCTATTTTACGCTGGTACTCTGTGAAAGCGTGTTCCTACCCCGGTCGAGCCAAACTATTCAACCGTGATATAGCAGCAACGTGGCTCTCCAACGTATCATCTTACGTATAGTAGTTATGTATTGTTATAATTTTATAAATTAATAAAAACTTACTCTCAGCACGTTTCAATGCGTTAGAGCGCGCAAATGCAGCGCACAGTAACGCCAAAGCGAAAGCCCAGCGCCACATCCCACTCTGCTTTAATCTCCGCTATTATTGGCACTCTACAGTGTTACTTGGCACCTAATATTCTGTATCTGACTGGCAAGTTCTTCTTATCTGAAACAATCAGGATTATTTATTTTTAACCTCATCATCCTCTCATCTCCATTCTCATCAATCTCATTTCTTGGATACTGCAATTAAAAATAGAATAATATTGATTTGATTTTTTTTGATAGCCAATTTTACAAACGCCATTTAAATGTGTTTTTGACAATTACATATTTATACGTGGTAGAGCCACGCTGCAGCTATATTATGGTTGTAGCACGAATGGGCCGGCACGATTGGGGAGGGGCTACGCTTTAACAGAATATCACCGTAAAATAGTTGCTTAATACTGCTATGTTACGTATAGTGAGTGTAGAGATCCGGAGACCCTTTTTTACTGGAAACGAGGCATTCCATCTTAGTCCTCAGGGGGACAACACATTTGCATTTTGATTCTTAATCGAGGACAAATGTAGATCTCTATGGGCCACCGACCGATGGGGTGAAAAGGTGTCGAGTGGCAGCCTCGTACTGGTAAGCGTAGTGTAGGGCGACCCCCCACTAGATGGAGTGAAGACCTGGTGAGACATTCAGGAAGTCGATGGATTAAGGTGGCTCAGGACCGTGCTTTGTGGCATTCCTTGGGGGAGGCCTGTGTTCAGCAGTGGACTTGCGTAGGGCTGTAATGATGATGATGATGACGATGATGATGGGCCACAGCATCCATTTACCATCAGGTGGACTGTGTGCTCGTTGATCACACTTATTCTATTTTAAAAAATGTGTACAGCATAAATATAAGTAAACAAATTGGTTTCTTAATAAAAAGGTAACTTAGCTTAAACCAAATTATAAAGTTATTTATTTTCAAGTAACGTTTTTATTTGGTGGTAGCACACCTCTTCTGTATGGTTATCCACCTGGGTAGGGAATAGTCTTACCTTTTTCTACCGTCAAACACCAATACGTCCACTGCTGTGTTCTGGTCTGGAAGGTATACAAAGCCAATCACAGGTTGTGAGACATCTTAATCTTCAAAGGTGTCACCTTTGAAGATTACGCACTTGTAGCTTCCTTCTTGGCTTGACGATGGTTGTGGGTGACCACGGGCTGCACTAGCCACTTACCATCATGTGAAATATCAGCTCGTTTCTCACTTCAGCTTAATAAGAACAAAGCGTACTTGGAAAACACATTGAGGTAGTAGAAATAAAGCTAATAACTTTTCTTCTTTTTTTTTCAGAAATATCAAAGAAATTGTTTTTGATATAAAATAAAAACTGACTTCAAAATAAATAACTTTCTAGTTCTATGCAGTGTAGGGTGACCACCCACTAGATGGAGTGACGACTTTATAAAATACGCAGGCTCTCGATGGATGCAGGTGGCTCGCAACCGTACTTTGTGAGAGACCTATGTTCAGCAGTGGACTTGTGAAGGGCTTTAATGATGATGATGATGATAATGATGATGATTACATGCAAACGTAGGCTTCAGTCTTTCTCTAGTCTAGCACACTCATATATGCTGTGGCCATAATATAGTGCACCGTGTGCCCACTACGTAAAACTTCAGATGCAATGTTGAAATATTTTTATTTCCTCAGATATGCTGGTTTCCTCATGTTCCTGATGTCCATGGTGAACCATCGAGCACGCTGTAAATCAGTACTTAAAATATAAATTTCACTAGTCCCGGCGAGGATTAAACTCGATAATTCTATATAATGCTACGACTATACTCGTAGCATTATTTCACATTACGTAGCAACATGCTACGAGTATTCTTGTTGATCTTATGGAGTCCAAGTGTCGTCAGCGCATCTAGCCTACTTTATTTGAAGTTGTTTGTATATGTATATCTATGGGATACAATGTCCGCTTACGATCAGGTGAACTGTAAGTACGTAAGGTCACTTCTATTTTGTAAAATAGCAAAAAAACGTATCTTTATCGAAATAAGGTTCATTTGGCCGTATATTCTCTTTTTTGTAATTTTCTAAGGTTATAAGTAACAAATATTGGCTAAAAAATAAAATAAAATGGGAAATAATAACAGAACAATTGGTAAAATTTTCCGTGATGTACAAGAAAAGGACGTAAAAATTTGGAGCTCATTAATGCTTCGCCTGGGAAGACCAGCTCCCACAAGCAGCATCTGTTAACAAGTATGACTAAGTAAAGCACCCGAAACGTCGGCAATCAAACATAAATAAAATAATAAAGATATTAATAGTTACCTTGCAATTTTATTTAAGAAATCTTTAGTCGCCGTCGTAGAGTCTACATCACATGAAGATGCCTAGTGTAGAGGCGAAACACGTGTCGTATTATCGTCGATGGTGTGTCTTTCCTAGAATAGTGGTGTTGGGAGTAGTGGTGTTGGGAGTAGTGGTGCTGGGATTAGTGGTGACGGGATTAGTGCATGCAATTGAGGGAGGGCGGGAGGTGTGCTTCAATCTAGGTAAGACACATCATTGTATTTAATTGAGCGGATGGTTGCAAAGTAACTATTGATATCTTTATTATAGTGGATTTCCGCAAAATAACGCCTGATTCTATCAATTATAAGTAAATCACGTTAATTAAACGCGATAAAATCCGCAATGTCTAGTCTATGTGTAAACGTAAGAAATTAAAAACGTTACCGCCTTAATTAATATTTAGACTAGTTAACTATAAAATTAAGGAAATATGAAAATAAAAAGAAAATAGTGTCAGAAAAATAATAATAAATTGAGGAACAACAAGTACATTGAATAATGTTTTTAACAAGCTGTACATTTAAAAATTTTGTACAACCGAATTCAATATAAATAAAATAAGAACACCATCAATGTATTCGAAGTAAATTAAATACGCATTATTAAGGATTACTCAAAAACTGCTGGTCAGATTTATGAACAGACATATATGGGACCACACGAGAAGCACCAGCTTCCAAATAAACAAAGAATCATCAAAATTGGTTGGCCTAGAAAAAAGTTTTGAGGTAATACACATAAAAAATATACAGTCGAATAGAGTACCTCCTTCTTTTTGAAGTCGGTTAAAATACCTAAGTGTGCTAAATATTTATATAAATTCTACAGTTTAACTACTTATCTAAGTATATGTTCTTATACAAGTACATAGATTAATGTGAATAGATTCACCAGGGCAAAATAAACATCGAAGCATTTGTTTTCGTCCATTCCACATTTATAGGCTTATTTGGAAAACAATAAAAACAGTTTCAAAACGAATTGCGTACTGAAAAATAACAGATTGATAGAAGAGTAATGGTATTAATAGAACTGTACACAAAAGGTAAACAATTATTAAAAACAAAAGACACGACAACAGCGATCTTTTGTTTCTAACAGTTAATATAACATGTATTTCATATATTGTAGGTAGAATTAATGTAATAATTAGAGATGGGCCGAATATTCGTTTTATATTCGGTATTCGGCATATTCGGCAGCTTTACGGCATATTTGGCAGCTTTACCGAATAATTGTATTCGGCCGAATATTCGGCTAAATTACCGAATATTCGTTAAAGTGCTACTCAACGTATCCACTGTATGGAAATTTACGAATTGAGTAATGCCATGTCTTTCATAATTTTACTGTTGAAAGTACATTTATTTATGGGTTAAATCTACTTGTTCAGCGTTATGTTTTTGAGGCACTGTAGATTTATTTCCAATTATAGCAAAAAGAAAGCTTGGTAAAATTTTGTTTGGAATCAAACAAAGAAACATTACATTACAGTCGTCACTTTCTCTAAAATAGGTCCAAGTAGTAGATCTCCTGCCACTCATTTTCATCATATAATTATCAATTTTCACTAAGAATAACACAACGAAATACTTTTGTCTCACAAAAATAGTCAAAACATAAGCATGTGCCTTTAATTTGCTCAGTACTAGTGATGAAATAACATGTCAGGTGTGGCTGGGGAGCGAGGAGAAGGGTCCGGCGCTGATCCCACGCGCTTTACGGTATCAAGTTTCGACATAAATTGGTCAGGTACCGAGGTAATCCTGCCGAATATTCGTATTCGGCCGATATTCGGCCCATACTATATATATATATATATATATATATATATATATATATATATATATATATATATATATATATATATATATATATATTATATATATATATGTGTGTGTGTGTGTGTCTGTGTGTGTGTGTGTGTGTGTGTGTTTTTTTATATAGTTGTTACGCTTTTACAACAAAATCTCAGAAACTATACAAAATTTGGCTTGCACAAAGTTCAAAAACTTTATATTAAACAATGTTTGTATAAAAAATATTAAGGAATTTATGGATGATAATAGCCCCTGAGTAAGGTGATCGCTACCACGCAGGGTATTTCTAATTATTTTTGTGTTGTTAATTGTGTAACACATATGACTGTAAGCTGATTTTTTAAAAAGTCCTGCTGGGTTTTTAGCTGGTTCTTCCCAGGACAGAGGTATTTTTGAAGCATTGGAATTGGTTTTAAATTAACACTAATAATATAACAATAGTATTTAAAAACTTAATAAATGATCCTTGTGAGATTCATTGTCATAAAATTATTGTATTATAATCAGCTCTTAATAGGTCTGAAAAAGTTTCAATAAAAGAAGTAAGTGAAAACTGAATTATAAAACTTCATTACAATCATTCATATAAAACCTGAAAAAAGTGATGGTGATTTGTTTCCATCAAGTTAGAAACACTATGGGCTAAATTCTTTTTTACAAGAGAATAAGACTCAACGGATAATTCGTTTAGCTCTCAACGATGAAAAGTTAATTACTACCGCTGAAGCATAATATACCTTAAGTCAGTGATATAAGATTGGAATTTGCTTGTTTCATAATATTAGGCATAAATCGTACAAAAGGATTCTGTCGTTAGATCCGGCGACCGGAGACTTCCGTCGAGAACACCTCTATCTTGTTAACTGATTGGTGTACCTTTACATTTTTTTATG